ACCAGATGGCTATAATAAAAAACAACAACAACGGAAACAAAACAGAGCAAAATGAAACGAAAAATAGGCAATGACAAATATTTGGTAAGAATGTGGAGAAACAGGAATTTCACAAAYTGGGAACACCAAATGATGCAGCCACACTGGAAAATGGTTTCTCACACTGCTAAAAATAGAGCTGTCACATGACCTAGCCACTCCACTCTTCCTCCTCGGCCACCTCACTCCCACCCCAGGAAACCACTGGTCGACTTTCAGTCTCTGCAGATTCGCCTCYTCTGGGCGTTTTGTGTGAATGGAATCATGCAGCCTCTTGCGTGGAGCTGTTTTGCTTCTTCAATGTCCTAGCATGTACCAGCGCTTCCTTCCTTTTTACTGCTGAGTATTATTCCGTTGTGCAATGCGCCATGTTTTGTATGTATTTATCCACTGATGAACATTTGGGTKGTTTCCACTTATTGTCGTCATGAACAATGTTTCTGTGAACACTGGTGTTAGCCTGCTGACTGACACAGCTGGTAAATGAGTCGCCCAGGACCCTATCCAGAGTGGACTGTTAGGTGAAAAAGACRAGTTCAAAATAACACCATGGTACTAACTTCCTCCACCCACATGTGCACACATAGACATCTCCACACACATGCGCACATTTGTATGGAAGAGACAGGTGACGAGACCAGCGTTAGTGATTGGTTTTGATGGGGGTGGGGAGGAAGGTGTGATTTTAAAATCTTKGTTTTGCTTCCCTGTCTTTTTCTATGGTGAAGGTTTATACTGTTATTTCTGCTTTAAAAATTGCAAAAGTCGATCTGTTTTGCCATCAAGTACACTAAGGGAACAGCATTGGGTATACACATGGTCAGCCTTGTCCGGAGGTGCAGGGGGATTGCCGTTTTGCCCAGGCGAGGCTTCCTGCTGGACCTGTCCTGTCCCCCAGCCCCTCCTGCTCCCTGGGGACCTTCAGTCCACTGTTTGCTCCACGCACAGCCCGACTCGTCCTGCTTCTGCGAGCTGGGCTGCTCCCCGAGGTGAGAATCGCCTGCCCTGTCGTGTGGGATTCACCTTTAAATGTGATAGAAATGTTTCTCTCATCACAAATTTAGTATCCATCATTGGAGAAAAGGTAAACAATTTTGAAAAGCATTTTAAAAATCAATAAACTCCATCATCTGCTCACTTAGAATGGGTAGAGGACCCCGGGAACTGGTGACGTTGGACTGTCCTTAGAGGCCCTGTGGAGTGACGGCGGGGCAGGAGGTGGAGGGGAGCAGGACTCCAGGAACCTCGCTGGGAGCCACCCCACCGCGGCAGCACGGCATGTGGGAGAGCCCCTGGAGGCAGAGAGCCTGGGTCTTGGCCTCTCCACTTGGCCCCAGCGATGGTTAAGGTGCTCCGCGGACACGCTTCCCGGAGTCCACCGCGTTCTTCTTGGGGTCAGTGTGGCACGCTCGGGAGAATGGCGGGATCAGTGGCGTGTTGTGTGTCTTCTAGGTGCGTCCGCCCTCCCTGCTTCTCAGGGTGGTCACGGTGTTCAACTGAGGCTGCGGGGAGACTTGTGCTTTAGGGAAGGCTGGGGACCGGCAGGATGGCGACAGCTGAACGGAGCCCCGTCTGCCGTTCCCAGGGCCCTGGTCTGTCCACCTGGCATTGGCGTCACATCCTCACAGGGACGGAAAGGGACTCAGGCCTCGGCTGAGATGGCAGGGCGCGGTGGTTACGGCACAGGCTCTGGAGCCCGCGGCCGGGTTCCAGTCCCACGGTGTCCCGCCCAGCTGAGACCTGGGTGTGAGGCTCAGTCTCTGCCCATGGTCTTGTGGCCTCTGAGGTTGACGTTGAGCGGGTCCCTGCCTCATGGGGCTGCCCTGAGACGGGCAGCGTGAGCGCCGTGCGCATCCCCTCACCTTGGTGGCCTGTGTGGCACTGCTCTGGGGGCGCTGGGGAGCTGGCATGAGAGTGCCCCACATGGAGGTGGCTGAGGACGCACTGAGCGCCCCTTCTCATCCCGTGTCCCTTCCCTGAGGGCGTCCCCACCTCACAGTGCAGCGTCCGTGAGCAGAGGGGGCTAAGGAGCCGCGGACACCAGGAAGGGGCAGGGCAGGCGCCTTCCTGACAGAGCTGCCCCTCCGTCAGGGCAGGGCCCTCGGGGGACAGCAAGTTTGTCACAGGGCCTCCCTGTCCCTGCTGCTTTGCTTGCTGACCACCTCTTCACGGAAGGCCTATGAGTGGTGCCTCCTGGAGACGCCCAGCATCCCTTTCCGGAAGGGCTGGTGTGTGTGTGTGTGTGTGTGTGTGTGTGAAAGAGAGAGAGAGAGAGAGAGAGAGGAGAGAGAGAGAATGTCTCTGGGACTGTGTGGGTCTGGTTGTGTGTCTGTACTTTTGTGTGTGTGTCTGACTTGTATGTGTGTCTCTGCATCTGTGTCTGTGTAAGGGTCCATGTGTCAGTGTGTCTCTGTGACCACACGGGTGTGGGTGTGGGTGTGGGTGTGTTCTTGACAGGGGCAGGTCTTGGTCTGAGGTGCTAACTGAGGTCAAGGCAATGCTCAGAGGCTACAGGAAGAAAGAGTTGTGGTCAGCAATTGTGGTTTTGGTCCATGCTATTTTTGAAATTAAAAAAAAAAATGTGAGAGGAAACTCATTGACACTTAATAGCTGTGTCAGATTTAGATAGAGACCAAGCTCAGGCTGCCCAGGCTGCCCAGGCTGCAGACCTGCAGCACGATGGGGCACAGGGAGAGGCCTGGTGCCTGCAGGTCCCAGGAGGTCCCACTGAGCCGGCGAAGGTCCTAGCCACCACGCCCCTGTGAAGTGTGGTCCCTTGTTCCCACTAACGAGGGGCAAATGCTGGTCCTGAGATGGATGCTCCTAGAGTGGCAGAGCTGGGTTCACACCTGGACCCTCTGTCCCCTGCCAGGGCTCTGTGCACCCCCCACCCCTGCCTCCTCCAAGTTCTGCGTCTCCAATCAAAAGCTTTAACTCAAGGGCTGGGTTGGCCACTGGATGTTAACCATCAATTTTCCATAGAGAAGAAGATTTCCTTCAGAAAAACTGATTAAATAGAATACTTGGAGAGGAAAGTTCTCTAAGCCTCTCATGTTATCAGCGTCACCCACGCCTTTGACCACTTCCTTACCGTGTCAGGAGCGTGGCTTTACATAGAGTAAAAACACGGTCCTGGGGTCCACCCATCCGCAGGGCCTGTCTCCGGGCTGCTGGGCCAGCTGCAATTTGCTATTTTGAACGTGGAGCTTTGGCGGAGTATCTTAATTGTGTGTGTGTGTGTGTATGTGTGTGTGTGTGTGTGTGTGTGTGTTCTGTTAAGAAAAAGCAGCTTTTTGAGCTGTTCTCGGGAAAGCTGGCCACTCCTTTTGCAAAAAGAAACTGAGGGCCCGGAACCCAGTGCTCCCTCTAAATCACCCTGACCCGGGTTCTCTGCCACCACCACAGCTCAGGCCCGGGCTGGCTGCGTGTGTGAGCCTGGAGTTAGGACTCTCCCTGCTCCGCAGAGGCTGAAAGCCAGCGGGAGCCACTGGCTGGGGATCACAGGGCTCTGGAGAGCTGCTTGTCCCTTGGAGTGGGCCAGCCAGACCCAGGAGGGCCTCAGGATATCATCTAAAGGACATAAAACCACAGATTCCTCCTGTCACTGCCTCAAGTCAGTAGCCAAGCTGCCAGGCCTGGCCTGCACAGCTGAGCCTGCAGGAAGGGCTCCTTCGGCAGGAGGCCACGCAGCTGCCGTGTTCAGGCCTCCAGCTCCACGCCCTGCACACTCCCCAGTCCCYCCACTGAGCTCCGGCCTGCCTGGCCTTGCCTCTGACTTGGCTGCAAGTCCCTCCTGGGACCTGACTACTAAACAGAGATAAGAACAGTAACAGTGCCACCAGGTCATTGACCCCAGGTGTATAGGAAAGGTCCACCTCACAGCAGCCAAGTGCTTGACCACTGGGTGCAGATCCCGATTCTGCCTCTCACTACCTCTGAGGCCTTGGACAAGTCATTCACCTCTGCCTCAACTCCTCATCTGGAAAATGGGCTGATCTTGTACACATTGATACCTGAGATGCTAAGAGCAGTGCTTGGCATACAGAAAGAATTCCATCCAGGTGAGCCCTGCCCCCAGGGCAGCCCTGGGGGCTGACAGCACTGTTGAGTTGCCAAGGAGAAGGACAGGTGTGTGTTATGTTACATGACTCTGAAACCATCCGCATCCAGCTGGAGCAGGTGTGGGGCACAGAGCTTCTCTTCTCTTCTCTTCTCTTCTCTTCTCTTCTCTTCTCTTCTCTTCTCTTCTCTTCTCTTCTCTTCTCTTCTCTTCTCTTCATCTGATGGCATCTAGCTCCTTGGACTGGCCTCCCCTTCCCCCTTGGCTGTCAGCTGTCAGGCCTGGAGCTTGGCCCATTCTTTGCCCACGACCTTCCATCCTGACTCACGCTTGGTGGCTGCTGGCACCTTCCAGAGGACAATCTCCCTCAATCCAGGACATTGTCCACGCCCCTTGGTCTCTGGCGGGGCCTCAGGATAGTGGCCTGGCCAGATTAGGGAATCCGTCTGTTGTCTCTAGGTGAGGAGGACCTTGGGTGTGCCTTGATCTGCATTTCTCCAGCCTCCTCTGGGGGCCAGGTGGGCAGCACTGCTCTGGTCTCCCTGTGCTCTGTGAAAGGAGGCTGTGCTCTGGGCTCTGATGCATGTAGCTCAGAACTGAGACACAAATGGAGCTGGCCAGGCCAGAGCTCTCTTACGCTGGAGTGAGGAGACCCAGCTCAGCTCCAGCACAGAAAAACACACGTGGTGTAACTCTGATCTGCCATCGGCCACACTGCCAAGACTGGTGGCCTCGTCCCACCCCCTAGCTTCTCAGATGAGGAAACTGAGGCAACTGTGGGCCTCCCCGAGCAGGGTCCCGGGAATCCTGCATGAAGGAGGCTGCAGAGCCCCGAGTCTCTGGGCTGAGCAGGGGTAGGGATGGTGGAGACCCTCCGCCCTGAGCCTTCTTTCTCTTCCAGGGAGGCTCTGCACTGTCCCCTGCAGCTGTCATCAGCCCAGACAGGGCTCAGCAACAGGCAGTGGCGTTGGCCAAAGAGGTCGGCTGCCCCACCTCGTCCAGCCGAGAAGTGGTGTCCTGCCTCCGCCAGAAGCCCGCCAATGTCCTCAATGATGCCCAGACCAAGGTGGGCACGTGTGTGCAGACTGGGGAGGGACAGTCTCTGGTCTCTTACAAAGGAAAAACAGGCCTGGGGAGGGATGGGATCCACCCAAGCCACACAGTGAGGTGGTGGCCAGCTGGAGCTCGATTGCCACCCCTGACCCCAGGCCTCTGCAGGGTCCCAGGCCACAATGGGCCAAGCAAACAGAAAGCACTGCAGGTCTCTCTGCCACTCGGATTTTCTGTCTACAAAGTGGGACTAGTGAGGCAGACCCTATGGAGTGGGACAATAAAATGAAGTAGTGGGTGGAAGGGTCATGCCCCCATGCCAGGATGGTGGTGGGCACTCACTCAGGTCACACTGCACGTGTTGAGCATTGTAGACATGGTTTCACAATGGCCAGTGGATTGGGCCACCTTGCACCCCACAGCTGTGTGTCCCTTCTAGCCAGCAAGGACCTTGCTCACAGCCACGTCTCAGTAAAGGAGACATTAGCAGGACTCACTGTGGTCATTTCAGCTGACGGCTTGACCCCCACCCCCAGCAGTGAGTCTGGGCTCCAGCCCTGTGTGGGCCTCCTCAGGCCCGTGTGCAGGCTAATCCGGTCGAGGCTGAAGCTGGCTGCCTCTGCCCACTCGAGGCGGCACCTTGTGCTCCCTCACACCCATTCTTCTTGGGGATCTGTTACCGTGGCAGGGAATCCCTGTGACATTCTCCTAGGGGCCCTCATGACTGAGAGCGACATTTGCTGTCCAGCCCCGGGCACTGTCACCTGGTGTCCTACCTGCCTGGAGTTCTGTCATTTCACCTTGCTTGCCAGCGGAGCCCTGGTGGAGAGCCAGCAGGGACGCTCACTTGGCGTAGACACAGTGTTGGGACCATGAGGCAAAGCGGTGCAACTGATTACTCTTAAAAAAAGATAACATTCAGACAAACAGTGGTATTCCTTTGCTATTTGCAGCTGCTGGCTGTGAGTGGCCCTTTCCACTACTGGGGTCCTGTGGTCGATGGCCAGTACCTCCGCGAAGCTCCAGCCAGAGCGCTGCAGAGGCCTCCGGGGGTGAAGGTGGATCTGCTGATCGGGAGCTCTCAGGACGACGGGCTCATTGACAGGGCCAAGGCCGTGAAGGTAGGCAGCCAGGAGGCCTCRAGACTGCAGCTGGCGCGCCCCAGACTCGCACTGCGGACCTGACTGTGATGGGGTCTGCCTCCTTGCTTGTTGGCAAATGATTGCTGGAAACTCCCATGAACCAAGGCTGCGTGTGTTTGGAGGTGGTGGTGGGGTTGGGGGGAGGAGTTGGGTTCAAAAATAAGTCATTGGCAGGGCTGGGAGCCTGGCAGACGCACCCACAAACCACAGCGCTGAGGGAATGTGTGAACACCCTGAGCAGGAGCAGGCCAAGTGCTGGGCAGCTGGGTTCCATGCTGCAACACCAGGGTGCCGGTCATGGAGAGCCCTGCCTGCGAGTCCCACTGAGAACTGGGGAAGGAGAGGCGGGGATGTGGGCTCAGTGACAGCCCTTCCAGTCCTGGAAGCACCCGGACACCAGCATCTGGGGGATTTTCTTCCCTAGAAAAGCTCCTGCCACACCTTGGCACAAAACGCGACTTACGGGGCACACCAGACGCATGGCAAGTGGGGGCGAGCAACCCAGCCTGTTATCTGCCGGGCATGGGTCTTGCTGTGACAGGCAGGAAGTCACCGTCACTCACTAGGAAGGTGCTAGGCCTAGAAGAGGCCCAGCCCCTGGAGTCAGGGAGAGCCCGCTGTGGACCTGGGCGGGAGGCGGCCTCCCAGCACACAGTCTGGCTCCCAGTCGGCTCCACTGACCACAGTGGTGCTTCAAAACATCATTTAAGGTGGCCACACAGGACCCTGCATTCCTTAGGATTATCCTGCTTTCTTTGGGTAATATATCTCACTTTGGGGAATTTATCTCCCAGCCAGAAAAACCCTTGTTTTTACATATGTGTGCAAGGATGTTGAACCCAGCATTAATTATTGTGGAGAAAAAGAAATGGAAGCAACTCAAATGTCCATTAAGTGGGAAATTCTGGAAGAAATTGAGATGCACACAAACTATTAAACTCTATGAAATGAATGAGCTAGGTCTCTCGGCCTGCTTGAGAGTGCCCGTCATCTGCTGCTAAGCGGGAAACAAAGAGGAATGTGGCATTAAGATAGCTCTCCTATTTTTAAAAAGCAATCTTTGTGTATCTGCATATATGTAAATGTCCATATTTTAATGTATTTCTGTGTGGAAGGGTAATGGTTGGACAGATATACAAGAAGCCATTAGTGCCAGCTCCCTGGGGAGAGGTGGAGAGGGAACAGGGAGCTCATGAATTAACCCACCGCTGCTGTATGTGCCTGTGCRACGTGCTACACACAACCTAGCCTTTCCCTGTAGCGAGCTCCATCTCCTGTGGGAGAGGCTGTGTGTTCTTCCTCCCACAGTCTGCGTCTCTGGACCACGTGCTAAAGCTTGTTCCGGCCAGCCCCAATTTCCAAATGAGAGAAAGAACTATTTCACAGTCCCAGGAGCCTTGGGAGATCTAGGCAGGGCACAGGTGGGTGGAAGGGTGCCCCAGTGGCAGTGGACGTGCTGACCACCAGGGAGGCGCACCTCTTGTCTGGAGGTCCTGGGCTACAGAGGGCCTCGATGTGGCCAGGTTACCTTTCTCGAGCACGCCATCAGCTGTAAGAGGGTCGACTGGGCACKTGGCTGCCTCGGGCTCCTCAGGTCCAGGCACTGTCCCAGTCGTGTCTTTGGGACTTTCCCCACTCTGTCCTGAGTTCCAAACCCACATCGGGGAGTAGCCAGACTCCAGGGCACAGGGTCYGGTGCAGCGAGGTGTTTCCGTTCCTCTGTGAGTCCCCCAGGGGCCTCAAGACAGAGCTCTCTCCTTCCACTTGCAAAGGAAAACGGTGCCCAACAGGAGGCCCACTGCCCACGCCAGGCGTGGCTGGAGGGCATGCACTCGTGGTGGGCCACCGAGTGGAGAGACCTGTCTGCGGCGTGATGGCCCCGTCCACAGCTGCTGCCCAGAATGCCGCTCTCGGCTGCCCACTCCCGCCTCCTGCTCCTCTCCCCCCTGAGTGCCTTCGTCCTCCTCTGAGCGCGGTCGGCACAGCCATGAGTGGTCCTGTGGTCCTGCGCCCTGTCCAGAGCACACCTGGCACTGACCCGTGTGCCGGGTGTGGAGGAGGACAACAGCAAGGTCGCCACCTCCCTGCCGTTCTGCSGACACCTCCCCAGTGCATCTCCAGCATGTCTGTCCCTGAGCCTGGCTTGCCCTGGAACCCCAGGCATGTTGAGCCAGCAGTCTGGTTGGTTCTTCACTCAGGTGTCCCATAGCCACTCACCCTAAATCCCAACGGATGGCTCTGTCCCCAACCCCCAACCTGCATACTCTCTCCTATTCTTTGCCATCTCAGTAAACAGCAGCAGCCTGCCACAGCATGTCCAGGTGGCTCTTTCTTCAAGACATACCCAGCCCCGCCRTCCCCCGCCTCTCTGCCATCACTCTATCTAACATCATCTCTCTCCAGGATTGGGGCAGAACCCCCCTGTGTTCCCGCCTCTGCCTCTGTCTGCCCTTCCAGGCCATGAGCGGCCTCCCGCAGGACTCGGACAGGTGACAGCTCTTCTGCTCACAGTCCTCTCACAGCCTCATCTCACTGCGGAGTCAGAGCCCCACCCCTAGGGTGACTTCCAGAGTCCTTTCTGATGTGGCCCTAGTAGCTCTCTGGCCTCCCTTCCTGTACCTCCCATCAGGGCTCTGCTCCCTGGGTTAGCCGTAGCAGTCAGCCTCTTTGCTGAGTGTGCTGAGAACACTCCCATCTTGGGGCTTGGTGTTTGCCACCCCCTCTTCTGGAATGTCCCCAGGCAACAAAATACAGATTTTCCTATAGGGTCTGCCTACCAGCCCTGATTGCACTAAATCACCATGTCTCCTGAGCAGGGCTCGGCACACCTGACTAGCACCAACACGAGTCTGCTGAGCTAGGTAGGAGTTGTGGTCACCTACTGGGTACCAGACGCTGGGCCAGGTGTTTGGACATAAATATGTATTGAATTCCCGCTCCAAGGAGGTCACAGTCAGGTTAGGAAATAGACCAAGAAGCAGATTGACACTCACTCTGTACAGAGAGGGGTAACCTCTCCCTGAACCTCAGGAGATAGGGGACAGGGGTCCCTGGCCCCACAGTGACACAGCCAGCAGGGGTGACCAAGGAATTGACCAGGACCCTATTCCCTTGACCAACTGTCAACCCAACATTGAGAGAGCCCTGGTTTCCTTGGTTGTAATGCAGGGCGTCAAGTTCTCAGGGCCTGAGCCTCAGTTTCCCTATCTGCAAATTGGGAGGCTATTAGTTAATATCCTCATAAACATGTTCAGAGGATTCAAATGTGCTCCAATGTCTGGAAACTAGCTTGATCTCATGAAATGCTAGTTTTTTTCACGTAATTCTTTAATTTTAATAGAAGGATTTGTGACCCTGCTGTAAAGAATCATCTGCAGAAAGCAGGAATATCATCACCAAATCACCTGGTCTCACCTGAGACTAGTTTCCCAAATCACAGCAGACCCACGCGCGCRTGCGCGTACACACACACACACACACACACACACACACACACACGCTGTCTCTTTGTGCCAACCCCATATAAATGCCAGTCGGAGCTCAGTCCCCAAAGCCCAACTTCCCGTGAAGTCCCAGGAAGGGAAGGAGCCCACTCGACCCAGCCATCACATTGGCAAGTGTCACAGGACTGGGAGAGTAGGGGCTCATCTAGTCTGTGAGAAGACCCTCACCCCTGCCCCCCAGGCCGCTCTGGACTCCCAAAGGGTGCCGATGACGCCCGCAAGTTACCCACGTACCTGGGAGCTTCAGCGCGGCTCAGATCCTAGAGAGGCTCCGCCACCGACAATGCTCTTGTCTTCTGGAGTAGCAGCTTTCTATTGAGAGTCTCCATCAGTCTCGTGCGGGGACGTCCCCCCTTTCCCTGGCTTACTGGTGAATTGACAGTCTGCCTGCATCAACCGGGCATTCATTTGCATGATCAGAAGCAGATTTGTTCCAAGATGCTACATTCTGCTTCCCCTCCAAGCACCAGCATCTCCAAGGAAGGCAAGAAAAATCAGAAACAGAGCGCCACTGCCGAGTGCCCTGAGCTTGGCCAGGCGTCATCCTCATTCGGGAGCAGGTGGAGTCGRGCCCTGTGGCGGGCGGGGGGCGGGGAGCGCCTGAGAGTTGGAAAGCAGCACCTGGCAGCAGAAGGGCTGGCACCCGCCCCAGCACAGGAAGATTGAGTCCTCGGTGACAGATCACAGTAGGAAGTGCTCACAGGAGTCCCAGCTTGTGCAGGAGAGTTCCTGAAAAGAGGCGCTGTGCCACTCAGTCCGGGCACTTGGGGCAGGGGGTGTCAGCTCTGGGCCCAGGGCAGAGCAGGGGTGCAGAATCAGGAAAGCAGGTCAAGTCCTGGCTTTAGTCATCTCACCTAGGCAAGTTGCTGAGCTGTGGTTCTTTGGCCTTTGAGTGGAGTGTGAGCCCGCCGCCAGCCTCCTGCAACATGGTGAGAGGTCAAGCACATCTAACAAAGGAGACAGCTCCCACGACCTGGGGACCTTGAGGTCTCCCTGCTCTGGCTCCCTGGCACACTGTGAGTCCATCCTCCCATGCTGTGAGCTAGGCGGACACAGCCCGATGCTCACAGGTCACTTCTAATTCTCCCTGTGACGCTGGGATGGTACATTCAGAGAAAGCGGAGGCCCGAGAAGGGTAGACCTGATACCCTCCCAAATATCAAACACTGTGTTTTACTGTTGCATTGGTAGAAAGATGAAGGCAAACCAAGCTGACATCATTATAATATCTTCATTATTTTTTTCTTCTGATTTTAAAATAAATGAACAGGAAATGCTTTTGTGGGTCCTTCCAAGTGTGGTAGCACTCTGCGCTGGCCTGCCGCCCGGTGGAGAAGTGGGCCTTCTCCCTCAGCATGCTAATATGCGGAGGGGTCCGAAGTCGTGCGTGGGTCAGAAGTCCCTTCTGCCCAGCGCTGGGACTTTCTCCTGTGTGGTGAACCGTCTTCTAGGCTCTGGGGCAAGTGGGGTAGCGAA